AGGGACAGCCACAGTAACAGCGACTGTGACCGACTCCCCTGTGAGCCCGCGGGGCCCGGGGCAGCGCTCGGCCCGGTCGGTGCTGTGCTGAGCCCCCAGCGCCTGACCCGGAGGGAGTGATGCTCCAGAGACTCGTGGGGACAGGAGGGAGTACCCACAGGGCTGTTGCTGCACACCTCATGGCTCTGTTGGTAATCTTTGTCCGTATCGGCAGTTGAGCCTTACACAATATTGTAGTTGTCTTAGTTTTCCTCCTTGTAGAGGCAGAGAAGAAACAGGTATGATGCAAGTTAAAAGCTGTACATGCTGTCCCTTAGCTCTTCAGTATATCACAGGCTGGGCAAGAGATAAAGGTTTGCACTTAACTCCACCTGCTTGTGCCACTGGAAATGATTGAATCCTTTCTGGTTACAAAGGGGATGTATCACAGGGCTAGTTAACTTAGTGGAATATGTGTTTATATACCTTCTCCTCTCACATGGTTTCTGTAGCCATGCTGATCTTGGAATCTGTTTCAATCTGGTTAAAGCTACAAGATTTATTTCCCTTATACAAAAAGGGCAAAAAGTATAGTTCATTCTCACTTGTGGTGGATTGGCCTCTTCCTCCCAAGTTCTGCTCTGCAAACTTTGCTTTTGTTTATCCACACTTTGTTTGTAAACATTGCAAATTCTCTCTAGATGTTTGTTTTTCTTAGGTCAAGTATGTGTACATTTCAAAAGCTCTTTCAGGAAGGAATCATTAGGTGAAAATAACAAACATAGAAAATAGCAAGATATTACTGAGCATAATTTTTACACTATTAATTCAACAGGTCAATTTCTTAACTGTTGCAAAACTTGACTGATTCAATGTAATCACATGACATGAATACATCTTTATTGTCTGAAAATCTTGCTCAGTGTATCTAAAAATGTATTTGACATGAAGAGGTGTTACACACTTGCTACTTTTAATATACACTCTGTGATACATCTGAATATTCTGGGAATTTGTTTTAAACCTCATCAGCAACATGAACTTTAAACTTAGTTGGAATAAGATTATTCTGGTTTAAGACTTCTGAAGGTGTTTAGGATGAGTTAGGTGTGCTCACAGGTGGACAGGCTGTTATTTAAAAATATTTATTGAAAGATAAGACTTTAATATCCAACCTGATTTCAACACTTTGGGTATCTTAAGACCTTGTTTATGTGCATATCACTTTTCTTACTAGTCTGTAGTACAGAAAACCTTACAGTTAATAAGCATATTAATGAATATGTTAATTCTGTTAGTGTTTTAAATGAATTAAGTGTCTGAATTAGAAGAAAAGATGTGATACGACTATATTAAATAAATATCCTGCTAGTCAAGGCCTGTGGATAAATTTATCTGTCCAAAGCTGCAATCGCTCATGTAGAAATCCAATTTTCTTACCTTGCAGCTTGCAAATCAATATATTAGGCAAGGGTTTTAGAACAAGATGCTTGTGCGACTTGAAAACTTTCCAGTATTATGACTACTACTTTGTGATAAATTCTTTTCTTACTTCTTTCTTCCTAATCCCTACCAAGGATCGTTGTCTTTTTTGGGGTATTTTCTGGGTCTGTTATTGTTAGTCTTTAATCAGTTTGGGGTTTTCCTTCTCATAAGCAACAAAACTTGGCTTGAACTTGAAGTCAAACATTTATTTGACTTTTTATAGACTCCTATGCTCTCTGGCTAGTTACTTTTCTTCCAGAACTGTGGCAGTAATCAGAAAGATTATTAGGCAATATTTTAAAATCTTAAACTTTTCTTTTTCTGCAGCCACCTGGAAGAAAAAACACAGTGGGAACATCCTAAGTCTGGGAAGAGGAAACGTGTTGCAGGAGGTTTGTGTTAAGCTTTTGTAATGAGCTGAAATTATGTTACAAACATCAGCTGGAGTTTGTGGAAGAACTAGGTCTCATTTTGATCATCTGGTTGACACTAATCACTTAGGCAAGGGGAGCTTGCAAAATGCAGCTGATTTCAGTGGGGTTTTACCTCAGCCATTGTGTCTGTGTAGAGTGATCACTTTGCATTTTTATGGCTTTTTTGTATTGCTCCATAAAGCCAAAGTACTAATTGCAGGGTAAAAGGTTTGTTTTAGTGTGGCTTATAAAGCATATAGTCAAAGGCTGGAGTTGTCTGTTTGGATTCTGATATCCTGGTGCCCATCAGTTAATATTTAAAGTTGGATTTTATTCTTCAAAGAATATTTTGCATCAGAAAATATCCCTGGCACAGAAGGAAGCCTCAATAGTTTTCATTTTACTTGTTTTCCCTGACCCTACTGAACGTTTGTGCCAGAACAGAAGGCAGAAAATGTGGCAGGACACTTCCAGAGGTAAATGGCTTCTTAAGGACCTTGGGTCAGTGCTTTAAATTAATCTTTACAGAAGCTTCTGTATGATGCACTTGGGGGTACTGGGCTGTTGGCAAGACTTGTTTCTTTTGGCATTGGTAACCTGACTGTAACTGGAATATTTTTAGTAAATCTTGAGTTGATCAAATTAAAATGAGTACTTTTCAGCCAGGATTAAAAATACTGGGAATTCCATCTGTTAAGTACTTCTGTCGGATCTTTTATGTAAGAATTTGTTTTGTGAAGTTTTGTCATTTCTATTCTTTTATCCTTTCAAATTCATAGAATCATAGGTTTGATTTAATGTATCTCATACCTGCTCAAGGGTTCTGATCTTTCAGTGTTTGGTATGTGTTAAAGTAACTTTTCCTACACTTAGTTCAGTGTTTTTACTATTTACTTTAGCAGGGATAAACGCTAAACTGTGAGTAGTATAGATATGAGTAAGTGCTGGGAAGCATGGTTGAATTTTGCTGGTTTGTGCTATAACCTGAAATAATCTTTGTAAAGATTTTTGTTTTTAGATTATACTTATTTTGCTAGTTGTTACAGTTGTACCAGATTTCCTGTATATTGTACTTTTGTGAGAGAGCACTTGTGCATGGTTAGGGAAGCAATACTTCTTTCAAGTTCTGATGTAGCAGGTAGCTGCATCACCTACAGAAATAATGCAGAATTTCATCACATCTGTCTGAGAAATAACCTGATCTTCAAATCAGAGTGTGCTCTAATGCCTGAAAATAAAGTTAATGTTTTATGTGCTTCCTAGAACTGCCATACGGATGGGAGCAGGAGACTGATGAAAATGGACAAGTCTATTTTGTGGAGTAAGTATGTCAAATTGCAAAACACGTTCAAGTAGGACAGTTCTGTTACATGCTGAGTATGTTTTGAGTTATGATATTGTGACAACATCAACTGGAAAGACAAAGAGATGAAGAAATGCAGCTTCAGAATCCATATGCAGATGGGTGTAGCAGTGTCTAAACACCCATTTGTGGTCTTCTAAATTCTTCCATGTGCACAGAAATAGTGGCTTGGGTGGCAGGGTGAAGTGGCTCACACAGCCACATCTCAGAGTGTGGACTGACCCTCAGGCAATGTTTATGTAGGCTCATTTTGTTGGTACACCTTTAGGGATAAACTCTCCACAAATGACTTTGTGGCTGGTTGTTAGCATTGCAGTAGAGATCTAAACATACATGTTGAAAACAAAATTGTTGCAGCTCTGACTCACTTGCAATGTAAAGCACAGAAATAGGAGAGGACAGAGATGGAGCTAGCAAAGAGTTTTGAAAACGTGGGATAGGAGGAAGTTCACAGAAGCAGAAGATGATTTCTGGAAATGTTTCTGTTTGTATCTCTTCAATGGCAGCATGGAAATGGGGGAAATTATCTTAAACTGACTTAGCAGAATATAAAATATTCACAGGCCAAAGTAGTGAGTATAGCCTCTCTGTCCTATACATAAGGGCTGGAGACTGAAAGTTGTTACTTCGTGTCTCTGCCTGAAGAAAACTAAAATTTGGTTTTAGAAAGGTGAGCCTGGTCCAAACTGTGCTGTTTGCTGAGCTGATGTCAAGCTGCTTGTTTCCAGTTGTTTGAGCTAAAAATACTGAGCTGCAGTTCTCCTTGGTATGTTGTTTCAAGGAGTAGTCTAGACCCCTTTTATAGACCTCTTTAGAGAACATGGTCTTCCCTAATAAAACAAGATTTGTTTTTCCCCTGCCAAAATTGTGCTTTTTATGTCAGGGGTTCACATGAAGTTCAGAATGGTTTGTGAAGTATGTGAATACAATTATTGGTGGATGCTGTCACAACTGGAAAAATGTTTGATTAAAAAAAGTAATTGGAATGATTTTAACAAAACTGAAAAAATTGATTTTTGAGAATTTAAATAATCCACTGGAATTCTACACGACAGTGGTTGAAATCCATTTAGATTCTAAATGGAAAGTACAGAAGGGTTCAAGCAGTTGAATTTTTGTCTTCTTTTGCAGCCACATAAACAAAAGGACTACCTACCTTGACCCAAGATTGGCCTTTACAGTTGAAGATAACCCGGTAAAACCTACTACTAGACAAAAATATGATGGAAACAGTACTGCAATGGAAATACTCCAGGGTCGTGACTTGAGTGGGAAAGTGGCTATAATCACAGGAGCAAATTCAGGAATAGGTAGGTTAACATTACACAGAAGGTGAAACATGGTAATCTTGATCTTGCAGCCTACTTGAGCAACCTGATCTAGTGAGGAGGTGTCCCTGTCCTGCCCATGGCAGGGGATTGGGACTAGATGATCTGTAAATCCATTCCAACCCTTAAATTCTATGATTCCATGATACTTTGTTGTTCAAATATCTGTGTACTTTTGTTTTTCAAACTTGATTTGCATTTCGTTCGTACAAAACCCCTAGTTAGAAAGCTGTTTTTTAAAAAGGTGTGGAGAATTTGGAGCTTACTGGAGAGCTACAGGAAAGACATCAAGTGCTAAAACAATTGATTTTTGTCTAGAAAAATATTGGTGGAGGCATTTTACATTATGTAGATATATAAAGGATTGCTGTGAAAGGGAAGAGAAGTTTCATTTTATGATCTTGTGGGCTAGGACAAGGAGTGAGCTTTGTATGGCTGCAGGGGACTTCTGGTAAAGCATTCAGAAAAACTTCCTGATGGCAGCAAGTAGTCAGGTAAAGATTTTTCCAAGCAGGCTGTGTAATTTTTATCTCTGAAGGTACTTTCCACTGAATTTGATGATGAACTTGTTTTATTACACAATGCTCCTTTAGGGCAAAGAAATACGATTTATGACCTTTTGAAATCCCTGTTAGTTGTATTTTCTAACAGGTTCATAAAGCCTTTCAGACACGCAGCTTGTTTAGGTATCTGTTACACAGTATTGCTTCGACATTGGGTGAATATTTGAGAGATTCTAATTAGCTGCTTTTGTTTCATTTTATAATGAAGCTTTGGTGCTTAGGGGCTTTGCCTTTCTTCTCAGAAGACAGACTCCAACTTAATTTGCTACGCTGTTTGAAGTTTCACTCAGCAACCTGCAACAGGATATGTTGTTTGCTGTGGCTAAAACTTGTGGAGGAGCCACAAATATTAAAACACTGGTGTGGTTTGGTGTTAGATTTGAGCTTTTTTGGTAAACAAGAGGATCTATGTAAATCCTAGATAACTGTTCATCTTTTGTTCCCTTTTGTGGTTTGCATTTTTGTTTATGATGGGATTGCATCAATCCTGAAAGAGTCCTTACGCAACTATTTGGTAGGAGCCAGCTGAAGATTTAGAGCTTTATTGTGGCTTGCAACTTAGGCCTTAACAGCACATGTCCTGCTGTCATTGCCTGATATGCTGCAACATATTGGCATTACAGTTGGGGCAGCAAGTGTTGTACTTGCTTGTCTCAATGAATTTGTGCTTTCTAGTAAGGTTTACATTCCAAATTCTTGGTACAGCTTGTCTCTACATTGCATCCAGCAGCAGGATTTGCTTTGTATGCAACTTTGCAGTCTCAGAACATTTA